ACTCAGGGAGGCAGTGAAGGACAGGAAGGCCTGGCGCAATATGGTTCATGGGGTCACGACTTAACGACTAAACAACAACAGTCCTCACTTAACAACCACTCCTTCAGCGACTGTTCAAAGTTAATGACAGACATGGCTGTTGCAGTATCCCCATGGTCAAAATTTGGGCGCATAGCAGCCTGCCTGCATTTATGACCACAGCACGCACTTCACATCCCCCCACCTGCCTATCTCCCCTCCATCTGTGCCCTGTTGGCAGCCCTGCATTCTGCTACCCTTTCTGCCCTGCACCCCTGCTGTCCCCAGCTGACCTTTGCCGCCATCCTCCTCCTGCTGCTGACAAGGCATGCCCGGCTTGGCCCTTCATGAGGCAGTTGCTGGCCACATGCAGCCTTCCCAAAACCTTCTGGAAAGCCGCAGGAAGGCTGAGTGTGGCCAGCAGCTGCCTTGCACAGGACCAAACTGAACACACCTTGTCAGCAGTGGGAGGAAAAAGACAACAAAGGTTAGTGGGGGCAACGGAGGGCAGGGTGGCCAAAAGGGCAGAGATAGGGGGAGATAGGCAGGTGAGGGGAGCTGAAGTAGAGCTGAGCATGGCAGGGCAGGAACAGTGTGAGGTCCTCGCCTAACAACCGCAACCAGAACTACCAAAACTGCCGTAGCTAAGCAGTGTAGTCTCATGTTTTGCTTAGCGATGGAAATTTCAGTCCCAATTAGGGTTGTTAAGCGAGGACTACCTGTAACAATATGAGATTAGGAATACAAAATTATATCTCATCTTTTGTAATATATTGAGAATTTCTAATAGCACATGCAAAGGTTCTAAATTCAATTTTAAAAGAAAAAGACACTTGTGTCACAAGACATTGAAAAGGGGAGACAATGCACAAAAAGTGATTCCCCTTGATCAGGTTTCCAACTTATCCAACATAAAAAACTAAACATAAAATAATTCAAGAAAACCCGGAGGAATAGTCCTGATATAAAGAAAAAAAATGCTCACTTTGAATTTAGAAAGTGAAGTTTTGGGAAACTGCAGGATGGGATTAAGAATTCACATTTTGTAAGTTGGTGTGTATTTACCAGACCAGAAGAATTATCTGAAGAAAGTGGAGAACCATAGTTCCTTTTGCAAATGAGGATTTTGTTCTGTGAAATGGCCTTCAACGACCTGATGCTCTCTAGGTTGGACTATATTTTCAACACAACCAGTCTTTGCATGAACTCTGTTGTTACATTTTCTAGATTATTCTTTAGGAGCGTTAGGGCCCATATTCCAAAGCAGGAAATGCTACAGGTTTTGGTACTAGTTAATAATTTTGGACCAAATCTTTAGAGCCTCAATCCATGTTATAAATAGATATTAAAAGTGGTGGACCTGGCTGAACACTGCCTTTTCCGACAAAATCCACATCTGGGCGCATAGATGTGATACGTTTGGCAGTGGTAGTTAACAAATGGCAGTGTGAGTGCATGCACTTGTGTGTATCTCTCTGCACACAAACATGCAGATTGGCTGAAAGTTCTTTGTGCCATCTTGGAATAGTAATGTTGAGTCTTCCAAGCCAGGCTTTTGCTTGGCAGGGGCTCTATGATACATCTCCCAGACAAAGTCAGCCTCCCCACCCCTGCCGCTCCAAAGCCTGGATATCTCTTGCGCTTTTCCTCCTCCAACCGTAGTTCTTCAAAAATGTTAAAACTTACATATTCAGCATGACTAGCAGCTCTTGTGTCTTTTTAGTTTTCTTGTGGTGAGACCCACAAATAGCAATCTGGATTTGCACACACTACGGATGCAAAATGCAAGACACAGTTACTTCCTTTTGGTTATTTTATATATCCCAATGTCTTTTAAAGCCTTCTTTGAAAGAAAAAAAATAATCTTAAGATCAAGCCTGTGCCTTAGAGCTACTTAAATTATAACCTTACTAGCCTTGCTTTTTTTTTTTTTTTAACCAAAGTGAAGTTTTTGTTGATAGGCTGAACTTGGGGGCACTTTCTGTAAAAATGCAGACTTTAGGAAGAACCTTGTGGCACTTACAAGACTAGCAACACCTTTTTTACTGCATGAAATTTTGATGATCGCAGTCTGCTTCATTTGCTATGCGGTTGATGAAATGAATGGTGACCCATGACACGTATACATATACATACACACAATATAGGCTCATCAATATGGCATCAATGGGTGCAATGTACCTAGTGACACATTCATTGGAGCCTACCAGGGTCTCTGCCCCAGCCACTCTCTTATTTTAAATAAACACACAAATAAACAGCAAACTAACATCCTATAGAACAAGTGCAGCTTCTGCAAAGGTCCCAACCCATTCATAGAAAATAAAAATGAGGGGTATAGCTATAACCTACTGCTTTTTTTGCTTTGTTTTTTGAAAGGGTGCCCAACCACCTAGAAAACAAGGGAAGCTGAGGGAGGAGAGGCTATCATGGTGAAGTATAATGCCTCCTGATGAATGAATTTTGTGGCTGGCCATGGCCTCTATTATGGTTATTTTGAGAGAGTGCCCATGATGTATTAACTCTCCAAATGTGCCCCCAGTCACAAAGAGGGTGGAGCACATGAGAGTAATAGTATGTAAGATGTCAAACTCGACTTAATCAGTTCTGCTGCAACAGCCTAGCATGGCTAACCTGGAAACTATCACAAATATGAATGCCTTAAAAAGGATCTGAACACAGATCTAAGCCAGTTGTTGAGTAATTTATACACTGTCTTTGGTCCTGTTGCCTACCTAGACTCTAATGCTGTAGGTAGTAGAGATCTATCAAATGCATATTTTGCTAGCCAGAATCTGGCCATTTATAAAACTAAGATGAAAGGTTAAGACAGCTTCCCACAACTTGATCCCCCTCAGATGTTTGGACTTCTAGAGTTCCAAGCCAGCATGGTCAACAGCAAAAAAATTAACTGCTAAAGCAAGCAGCTCCTATAGCTTTAAAATGAATATTTATTTATAGAAAATTCTCATCTGGAGCACAGATATCTAGAGACCTGCAAACATTTGAATTTGAAACTATAAGTGTTCTGATACTGTTCCGATCATTCCAGAAATATTTTGAACTCGACTTCCTGGGAAGGTATGGCAAACTGAAGACGTCTCTGCAAAAACAGAGCTGATGACTGCAGCAAAGACCAAAGAATCAGTGAGTAGACCGGTCCCTTGGAATCTCTCCGGCTAAGGAGAAGATGTGAGATTGTCCACATGTGCTTTGGATGGCTACTTCTTGAGAGAAGACTGCAGGATAGCAGTTTTCAGCAGGTTTGAGTGCCAGGAGACGATAGGATCAGCCATCTTGCTCACAACCACAGCAGAACCTTTGAAAGAACACTAAGTCTGCAAACTTCACTTTCTAATCACCTTTGGAAATTGCCTATTAACCATCTTAAAGCTATTAGAGACCTTCAGAATTACAAGTTTGAAAATTCTTTATCAGGTGAGTTCAACTCTGAACAAATGAAAAATTAATTATAACCTTAAGAACTTAAAGAATTTGAAATAAACAGCAAAAAGCTAAATAAGATTTTGATCTAAGAAAGTCATAAATGGATTAAGGGTCCAGATAAAGTTGGAATATTGATTTTTGCTAAAGATTTTGGAATTAACGATAAAAATAAACAGCTTCTGGTGGGAAACAGGCTTATTTGGGCTACCCTGGCTATTGTAAGTCATAACAAAGGTCAGTGATGATTTTAGAAATTGGACACTTTGTTGTTATTGTTCAGTTGTTAAGTCGTGTCCGACTCTTCGTGATCCCATGAACCATATTGCGCCAGGCCTTCCTGTCC